CTCCCAAACCTCGTGCGTCTGCCTTCGGAGGGTCATCTTTGGGTCGTTGGGGCAAGCTTGGCTCCAATAACGGATAAACCTGGCGTGCCGCTGCCGACCCTTGATGGGTTCACGGGGTCCGTCGTGGTCGCCTCGGGGGGCTCAGGGCTGTGCTGGGTCCGTCTTGGGGCTGCCTTTTGGCCCTCTTGGCGCAGTATGGGGCCGTTTGGGGGTGCTTGCGGGGCCTCTTTGGACGGTCTTGGATGCCCTGGAGATCGAAAAGGCTTGCGTGTCAAAGGAAACGCAAGCTGAGGAATCATAAGCGTTTACTTCCTGGGGTCCCGTTGGGGCCGCCTTGGGGAGTCTTGGGCCTCTGGGGTCGTCTTGGGGTCCTCTTGGGCCTTCCTGAAGCCATGATGGCCTGACGTGGAAGTAGTCTTTTCGTTTTCCGCGAACGATTGGGATGAACACTCCATGGGTGCGCGCGGCGCCGTGTTCCGAGCGCACTTTGGCTATAGAGCTGGCCAACGCTCAAAAATGTGCCGATGGTATCCGGCAAAGTACATAATGCTCGACTGCAAAAAAAAACCGACTTGAGACTGCTCGACTTCACTGGATCGGCGCAATCAGGAAATGGCATGCCGTTGTGGGTTTATTGACCCTACTTTGGCCCTAGGGTGGAAATTCGCGGGTTGCGCGCAAAGCAGGAGCAGGCGGCCTTGGCTCTGATGCGGAAGATTTATAAGGACCAGCATAAGAAAAACATGGCAATGAGGAGGGGAAGGAGAGCGAAAAGCCAAATTAAGCAAGACCAACTCGGGAAAACATATCGAATCAGAATGTGCGTCGGGTCGGGCCGCGTCGGTACCGAGTCAAACATCGAAAAGAGACCACGCCAATAATAATCTAGCACACGGGAGCTCAAGCCTCGCCGGGCTTTCGCGCTGTCTGCGCAAAGCCTTCATCCCCGACTGAACCGACGAGATGATGCTAGATATTGGCTCAGCGAGTTCGACCTGAAGACGGCCACAGAGAACTTGCTGCATCTTGAACGAGTGATTGGCTGACTGGAGATGACAAGCGGCGACGAGATCAAGCACGAGACCAACGAAGTCAAGGGCAAATGGGCCACCCGAAACAATTATAATGGGTCGCAGAAGGGCGCGCTAATACTGTACGCGCCCCTGGGAGGCACACGCCCGAACCGGTGACCGTTTTTTTCTTTCCGGGGTAATGGCTGTTATTTTTCTGGGGGGGAGGGGGGGGAGGCCGGGAAGGTAACGGGAACGGCGGCCGCGGCGTGCGCCCGCTTGGGTACGTCCACGCCAACGGCGCATCAATTGCCTGCGTACACGACAATGCCCACAGGCTGCGCGCAACACACCGCCACCTGTGTACACATCACAGTGCATCCGTACACCACAACAGCCGCGTGCACTTTAGTACCAGGTCGTCTCGCCCATGCACACTGCAGTGGCTGTGTGTGCTGCAGCATCGGATGTTATACAGAATTTGAAAACGAATCGTTATGGAAAGTGGAACGTTACTGGATCCCACAAGAAAAAACCTTTGCTAAAACAGCAAAAACCTAAGAAATTGGGGCGACCATGGATTCCACATGAACCCGCCTTTTGTATATACACGTTTTGAAAGAAGCCCTATGCACCACAACGCTTGCATACACCACAGCGCCTGCGTACACCACAACAGCCACGTGAAACATAGCGTCAGTGCACACCACAGTGACGGCGTGCACCACAGCGTTTGAATACACCTCAACGGCTGTGTACATCGCAGCAGCCGTGTGCAACGCCGCGTTATTGCGCATCACGCTGCATGCGAAAACCACAGCGTCCGCGCGCACTACAGCGCCCGCGGGAGAAGGCGCGGGGCCGCCCACCATTCATTTTCTCCATGGCGCCGGGTCTACAATCGATACGTGCATTATGGACGGGTGCAAGGACGCAAGACCTTTGCAAACCGAAATTGGGATTGTTTTGAAAAAGCTGACCAATGAACGCGGCGAAGGACAGGCCGCAGAGGCAAGGACACAAGGGTACCCTGGAGAAGGCGCGCGTCCTTACTAAGCTGGTTGACTGCATCGCACTGCAACCGAGCACCAGCCAAAGGAAGCGAGAGAGCCACCGCATATTGCACTTGCGAAAGGGTGGTCGAACCAGCCTGCGGTAGCTGAGCCATCGGCAGCTGCATTGGACGACGAGGACGACGACGACGACGACAACGACGACGGACGACGACGACAACGACGGACGACGTTGACGACAACGACGACGACGGACGACGGACGACCGACGACGGAAGACGGACGACGGACGACGGACGACGGACGACGGACGACGGACGACGACGACGACGACGACGGACGACGGACGACGGACGACGGACGACGGACGACGGACGACGGACGACAACGACGACAACGACGACGACGACGACGACGACGACGACGACGACGACGACGACGACGACGACGACGACGACGACGACGACGACGACTGCGAGCACCACAACACGTTTGTGAGCACCAATGCGTGCCGTTCAAGCCACGTCATGCCTGTAGGGGGGGGGGGGGCCAGGCCCCCCCTCCACCACGGCACGATCATCAGCGGTACCCGGGGGGGGAGGGGAGGGTTGGCCCGGAGAACGAGCGTTACGCCGGAGAGGAACAGATAACGCTCACCCGAACACTTATCACAAACATGTCATAGCAGATCGCTGCGCAGGCGGTATGGCTAGAAGGCACCCGCTGTGGGGCCCACGCGCACACAGTATAGGACTGTTTGGGTCATGCCGATGTAACGGGAAGCTTTGCACTTTCTACACGCCTTCTGGGCGCAACGACGCCATGTAAGCATCGGACCGCATCGGATCGTTGGGGTGGAGAAGTCGAATAAGACCGGGACAACCGGAATCGACATCGAATCGGATCGACTGGATCGACATGGACCCTGAAGCGAGGAAGAGGAGGAGGGGAGGAATGACCAGCGCGGCTACAGGTTGTGGTCTCTGCACTGGACAGTTGCAACCACAAGCGTGCAGGCCAACGTCAAAAAGAAACAGTGCCAACGATGGGCCTCCAACCCGGGTAGCTGGCTGAGGGAAGGCCTGCAAACAATCCCCAGAAGGCCGATGAAGCCTGGGTAACAAGTCGCTGAGAGAGCTCTTGCGAGCGACGAACATATCCAGATGAGAAATAAACGCAAACTTTCGGAGGTCCACACCTCTCAGACTGGGGCTGGACCCACACGGCGGGGCACCTCCGCAAAGCCGCCCTGCATCCGCAGGGTCGCGGGCGAGGGGTACACGCCGCGAGGCCGTGGATTTTTATACTAGCCGGCCGCTCTGCGGTTGATCGGGAGTTTCTGTATATAGAAGAAGGTGCGTGCGCTTGTTGGCGAGGGTGAGGATGAGGTTCCTCCTCCTCCTCCTCCTCCTCCTCCTCCTCCTCCATCCTTCTCTTGCCTCCGTCTGTCCTCCTCCACCCCGCAGCTCCATCATCTTCTCCTCCTCCTCCTCCTCCTCCTCCTCCTCCTCCTCCTCCTCCTCCTCCTCCTCATTCCTCCTCTGGGCACCTCCCCCGGGGCGCGGATCCACCGGATCTGTCCGGATCTGTCCGGAAACGGTGCCGGAGGCCGCTCTGGGCTCCTCTGGGCACCTCCCCCGGGGCCGGTTTTGTGAGGATGTCTCAAGCGAGGGCGCCGGTTTGGGATTCGTCCCCGGATCCAGCGGATCCGTCCGGATCCGTCCGGAAACGGTGCCGGAGGCCGCTCTGGGCTCCTGTGGGCACCTCCCCCGGGGCCGGTTTTGCGGGGATGTCTCAGGCGAGGGCGCCGGTTTGGGATTCGCCCCCGGATCCAGCGGATCCGTCCGGATCCGTCCGGAAACGGTGCCGGAAGCCGCTCTGGGCTCTCTGGCCACCTCCCCCGGGGCCGGTTTGCGGGGATGTCTCAGGCGAGGGCGCCGGTTTGGGATTCGTCCCCGGATCCAGCGGATCCGTCCGGATCCGTCCGGAAACGGTGCCGGAGGCCGCTCTGGGCTCCTGTGGGCACCTCCCCCGGGGCCGGTTTTGCGGGGATGTCTCAGGCGAGGGCGCCGGTTTGGGATTCGTCCCCGGATCCAGCGGATCCGTCCGGATCCGTCCGGAAACGGTGCCGGAGGCCGCTCTGGGCTCCTCTGGGCACCTCCCCCGGGGCCGGTTTTCCGGGGATGTCTGAGGCGAGGGCGCCGGTTTGGGATTCGTCCCCGGATCCAGCGGATCCGTCCGGATCCGTCCGGAAACGGTGCCGGAGGCCGCTCTGGGCTTCTCTGGGCACCTCCCCCGGGGCCGGTTTTGCGGGGATGTCTCAGGCGAGGGCGCCGGTTTGGGATTCGTCCCCGGATCCAGCGGATCCGTCCGGATCCGTCCGGAAACGGTGCCGGAGGCCGCTCTGGGCTCCTCTGGGCACCTCCCCCGGGGCCGGTTTTGCGGGGATGTCTCAGGCGAGGGCGCCGGTTTGGGATTCGTCCCCGGATCCAGCGGATCCGTCCGGATCCGTCCGGAAACGGTGCCGGAGGCCGCTCTGGACTCGTGCTCTTCGCGCCGGGGGTGAGGATGACGTGAGTTCCACAGAAACTCCCTCAAATTATTGCTTCGCCAAAGAAGGAAGGAGGGGGCAGGATATGGGGAGGCAAGTATATGCTCCATCTGGGGATCTTCCTGGAGCCACTTGTTCCACTCTTGCGTGGATGCAGCGTCGAAGGTCCGTCGATCTTGGACGAACTTGGGTGGACATTGAGCCGAGCTGGAATCAAACTAGACCCGAAATAGACTCAAACTTGAGTCAAACAGATCCGTGAGGAGGGCCCCACAGAGATCTCCAAAACGAAGATCTGAAGACAAGGTGTTTCCGAAGATCCAGCGTCAGGGGGGAATGGAAGGACAGGGCGATCAAGCTGACGGGAGCCCCTGCGCCAGCCATGCGCGCCACGCACCAGTCAGGGCACGCCACGCCCGGATCTTGTCACGTGTTGCACCGTCCCGAGCGGGCCCGACGCAACTTCTCAATACTCGGCTTGAGCAAGTCGTCCTTCTCGCTCAGGCAGCAACCGTCCTTCTCCTCGCGAGCGACAAACATCGTCAGAATCCATGCCCCCGCGGTCTGGAAACCGACGCGCAACCCTATGGAAGCAAGACCCCATGTATACGTTCCGAGCGGGACATCCGCGCAACACCGCCCCGTACACAAAGGGCCAAGGCCGAAGAGTCCAAACCGCGAGGTCGTGGATACATCCTAGGTTTTCCACCCACGAGCTCCAGCGCTGCCATCATAGTGGCGAGTTGCTTGGTCATGGTCCGCATGTCGTAGCTGATCTCGGCCATCTCCAAGCTTGTAGCATTACCCTTCAGCTTCTCACACCCCCTCAGGAAGTCGTCCAGCCTGATGGCCCCCTCGCGCGAGGTATCTAGGAGCTTGAACAGTGTGTGCGCGTCGCGAAAGTCGATGTGTAGGGCCTGGAAATAAGCCTGCATCAAGTTGTCATCGGCGATCAGCTCCAGCTCGTCGAGGGTTATGAGACCCGAGTCGTCGTCGTCGATGGCCCCGAAGAGCTGCTGCAGCTTCTCCGTGCAGGCTCGCCTGTTGTCGACGATAGACTTGGCGATCAGGTCTGGATTGCGCTGGGTTGTCTCTACTGCCGAGCTGCAGAACACACCAGTGACCTGGGAAGCTTGAGACCCGATCTGGAATTACCTTGCCTCGAGCGATCCCCACCCAAGAGTGCGAGGTGGGATCACCAGGAAGCACTGGCACTCTCTGGGCCTGGCGGCGGCGGTATGCAGGGTGTGCGAGGCGTGGCCGAAGCTCTCTGTTGTTAAACCTTACATCCCGAAGTCGTCGGGCGGGGAATTAATTTTACGAAGGCATTGTGTGGCGAGTTTCTACTCCCAATGCGCACAGCTTCGCTCCCTGATGTTTGTTTAGGGCCCTCCCTCGCCCCAAGAATGACACTGCTTTCGGTGGTGATTTACCCTCCAGCGCCCAATACCCCCCTTTTATTCCCAACCATCCTGTGGTGTTGGGTCCTTCTTTTGAAAAGACAGCGCCCCGCGTCCACTCCTTCATTCCTCACTTTCTCATCGTCATCGTCGTTTTAATCGTCATCACAGTCGTCATCATCGTCGCCATCGCCATCATCGAGGTCATCATCATCGTCATCGCCAGCATCGTGCCTCTGCTCTCGACGTGTGCACCATTGCGGCACACCCCTCACACGGTTCGTGGCCCCATAGAGACCTCCACCGAAGGCCCCAGTGACATGGTCCTCATGCGTCCCCCTGCCAATTATGGGCACACTCCTCACACGCTTCGTGGCCTCATAGGGATCTCCACCGAAGGTCCCACCGGCAGGGTCCACATGCGTCCCCCCGCCCAGTTCGGCACACCCGGCATACCCTTCGTGGCCCCATCGGGAGCTCCACCGAAGGTCCTGGTGGCAGGGTCCGCGTGCGTCCGCTGGCGTACTTCAGCATACCCTCACACGCTTCCTGGCCGCGCAGGGGGCTCCACCGAGTGCCCCAGTGGCAGGGTCAGCCTGCCCCCCCCCCCCCCCACACTGCGGCACACCCCTGACATCCATCCTTCGTGGTACCATAGCGGGCTCCACCGAAGGTCCCCGTGGCAGGGTCGGCATGCGTCACCCCGCCCATTTCGGCACACCCCTCACGCTTCGTGGCCCCATAGGGAGCTCCACCGAAGGCTCCAGTGGCAGGGTCCGCATGCGTCCCCCCAACATTTTCGGCAAACCCCTCACACGCTTCGTGGCCCCATGTGGAGCTCCACCCAAGGTCCCAACGGGACGGTTCACATGTGCGCGTCACCCTCGTTTCGGCGCACCCCTCACACGCTTCGGGGCTCTATAGGGAGCTCCAGCGAAGGCCCCAGTGGCACAGTTCGCATGTGGGCGTCACGTCCTTTTCGGCACACCCCTCACACGCTTCGTGGCCCCGTAGGGAGCTCCACCGAAGACCCCAAGGGCACAATTCGCATGTGGGCGTCACCCTCTTTCCGGCACAACTCTCACGCGCTTCGGGGCCCCATAGGGAGCTCCACACGAGGCCCCAGTGGCACAGCTCGCATGTGGGCGCCACCCCCGTTACGACAGACCCATACCCCGTTCGTGGCCCCACAGGGAGCTCCACCGAGGGCCTCCGTGGCGCAAATCGCGCCTGGGCGTCACGTCCGTTTCGGCACACCCCTCACACGCTTCGTGGCCCCATAGGGAGCTCCACCGAGTGCCTTTGTGGCGCAGTTCGCATGCGTGCGTCACGCTTCGTGGCCCGATTGGGAGCTTCACCGAGTGCCTCCGTGGAGCAATTCGCATGTGATTCCCCACTCATTCCAGCACACCGCTCGCACGTTTCGTGGCCCCATAGGGAGTTCCACCGAGTGCCTCCGTCGCGCAGTTCGCATGCGATTCCCCACTCATTCTGGCACACCCCTCACACGCTTCGTGGCCCAATAGGGAGCTCCACCGAAAGCGATGGCCGCAACGCAGTACCTACAACTCCATATGGTTGGGTCCTTCGTCAGGCTACTTTTGGAGATGATGTTATGCTGTTTTTTGGAGGCTGGCGTGTACATGACTGCGCGCTGGCTGAGAAGAGTGGTGGCAGCGGTGAGCGGAAGAGAAGCAGGAGGGAGGGGGATGCGGCAGCTGTGGAGTAGGGGTGGACGAAAGAGAGTGTGAGAAAGGTGACGGAGGCCTGTGCGAAGGGTCCCTTGGGAACCGGACTGGACAGTACATGTGCGAAACGACGCTGTCCACGGGCGCGCGGGAGCTCACCTCTCTCGGGGGATACGCTTTTCCCCCGTTGGCTTCCAACAGGCCAGCGGTAAGGAAACCGCCTTCACGTCGCGTGCGCTGGCTGGGCGACACTGACAAGGAGCGCGATGCGGCCACACCCCCTGCGGTTACGCTATGCAGCCATCCCTTCTGGGGGCTTCGGGGGAGCTGCCAATTGGGGCCACGAAACATGTGAGGGGTGTACCCACATGGACGGGGGGACGCTATGCGACCACACCGACTGGAGGTTTCGGTGAAGCTCCCTGCAAGGCCTCGGAACGCGTGAGGGGTGTGCCAACATGGGCACGGAGAGCAGAGGAAGGATGAGGAGGGGCAGGAAGTGAGACGGAGAAACTGATGCGCGGCGCTGCTTAATCATAACGAGGGCCCGACTCTCGCAGGATGGATCTGACATCTCAGCTTACACAAATACGACACTGGTAGAGGGTGGGAACCAGGAGTGCCTGCCCCAAAAACGATGTTGAACATGTTTTTATCTACACTTCTTAGGTCGGGCCAGGAACTGCCCACAACTGACCACGTTCAAAACGGCGAAGTACATAAAGGCGATGTACACGGTGAAGAGGGAGGTCGGCAGGATCGAAATGCCATGCAACGGGGTGGCTGGCTCACGCCAGCTAACGCCGCCAGAAATCGACTGGAAGAGCGTGTACATGCTCGCGTCCAAGGACCCCCATTCTGCTAACAACTTGCCGTGGTCGTCCTGGACGACGCCGCCCGCAGTATCGGCGAATTCCAACGCCTCTCCCGTGAACGCGATCCCGAAGACGTAGATTATCATCAACATCAGCACAATGGCCCACATCAGCGACTTCAGCGTCGCCAGGATCGAGTACACCAGCATCCGGAGCGCCGCGATGAAGCGGATGATGCGATGCAGGCGGAAGGCGCGAGTGAGCCGGACTAGGCGGGCAAGCCGCACGTTACGGAGCACCGCGGCCCCCACGAGTTCCTCCTCGGTATTGCCAGCAAGGGCGATCATGTCCATACCGATCTCGAGTAGCCCCATGAGCACTACCAGCGAGTCCGTCCACGCCCAGAACACCTCCCCCCTGAGGAAGAACTGGACGAAGCCGAATTTCCACATGCGCGCCATCAGCTCCGCCAGGTAGAGCACGGTTCGGGTGCGCCCAACAGGGGGACCAGGAAGATAGGGGGGGGCAAGGGCTTATCTAGCGCAGCGTGGCCCAAGGCATGTGCGAGGATGAGGCGGGGGAAGGGGACGTCTCTAATGGTTGTTTGGTTGGGGTGGTAGGCGGCTGTATGTAGGTATGTCCACGGTCGATGCAGGAGACCATTTGGCGGCTCTGGTGGCGCTAACAGCGCCCGAGGCCCCGCGGGCCAGCATAGCGCTTCGACTGCTGCTTCCCAGTGGTTCTGGAGAGGACGGTGCCCGTGGATAAAAACAAAGTTCGATTCGTCGCTTCGTGTCTCATTGAGGGGGTCATGGCATCTGGGAGATATCATAGCCCCGGCCATGGTACCCAGACCCCACGTGGCCCTCAGTCCCCGGCACGGACGCCCCCGAATGGTGTACGCGTGGCGCGCGACAACGAAGGCGACCGGGAGCTCGTCCCCCAGATGGATGCTCCTGTACTGGACCTCCGCCCCGCTCATGAGCGCGTTTGTCCCGATGACGACCCCAAAGAAGATTTCGAACGCGGAGCCCATGCTCTCGCCGCTCGAGAAGACGCCCGACGACGACCGCCTGACGCCCGCGATCCGATCCTGCTTGGCCTTCGCCGCGGCCGCGGCCGCAAAGACCCTGTCGTTGTCGCCCCCCACGCTCCGCGAGCTTCCCGCCTTGTGGCTGCTCGCAGGCGTGACCAACGGATTGGTGCCCCGGCGCGGGCTCCTGCAATCGGCGGTGGACAAACCTCCCTTTAGCAAACCTCCCTCTTGAGAAGACGGCCTGGGACCGACACCGACGGACCTGGACCCGCAAAAGTGACGGCCGCGACGCCCTCTCGCGAACCGGAAACGGCCAATTCGCCAATCGACGTGTCAGGGTAGGAGGCCTGTCCACCCCCGATGCAAATAGAGGCGCAAAGAGTCAACATGCACGTTTGGAGCTCCGCGCGGGGCTGCGTCGCTCGGGGATCTTCTGACCCAGGTAAATCCAGACCCGGGTCAGCAGGAAACAAAAAACTGCAATGCAGGAAACAACAAAAACTGCAACGCAGGTCCTCGCAAACCCGGGTCAGCCAATAGGCGCGGCCGCCCTCGCGGCCACGAGCGGCTCCCTAACCCAGGTCAGCCAGAGGGGGTCTTCGCAAGATCCTGCAGGATCCGGTGCCGTGGCTGACCCCCGTTTGCATTGACCCCCGTCTCAAGGCTCCCGAGTCGCCCCCCTCCCCCTGGCGCCGGGCAGCGCGCCGCGGGGGCCCCAGCGCAGATGCGACAGAGCTGCGCGGAGCTCCGCAAAAGTCCATGCTTAGGTCGAGCCTGTCCCCCATACAAGGGGATGTTAGGCGAAAGGAAAATAATAGCCACAACATGCTCCCACATGGTAACCAAAATACTAAAACAAATCGTCCCCAGAGTAGTCTTGTACTATTCTAGACGCTTCGCGCATCCCCACCAGCCCGTCCAGAAACGACGCCCAGGCGAGTAGAGGGTCGTCCTGAGGGGCTTTTCGGCGTCTTGGTTGGGTGCCTCGGGGGGGCCTCTTTGGGCCGTTTGGGATCCTCTTGGGGGCCTCCTGGGGGCCTCTTGGGGTCATCTTGGGGCCATCTTGGGGCCTCTTGGTGCCTCCTGGGCGCTTCTTGGGGCCATCTTGGAGGAAATCGATCAAAGAAGAGGGGAGCTTCAATTAGCGCTGCCCCCTCAGAAGGCCAAAATGGGGCCAAAACCTTAGTAAAATCAATGATTTTGGCTTCCTCGGCGAGGCCGTTTTGGACGCTCTGACCGCTCCCCGCCCCCCCTGTCCAGGTCAGTGGGGAGGGGGTAGGGGGAGGGGTAGACCTCTCCCCGAAGGGGAAGAAGAAGGGGTGGAAGAGGAAACTCGTTAAACCACCGACGCCCTAAAGGGCTGGTGGGATTTTTAAAGATTCCTCCTGTGGAGGGACATGCCCGACTTACAACTATGCCCGTGCAATTTTGCCCTGCGTCCTGCTCCCGGACACGCTGCGGGGGGTCCTGGGAAGGGCCCGCCGTGTACGCCACGTCGCTTGGTCGGCCAAGAGGGGCTCGGCATACATAGACACCTCGGCTGCCCCATCTGCGGGAGCCTGGCGCCTCTCTATACCGAATCCCTTCGCCGAGCTACTTTGAGACCATTTGGAGTCCCGAAACGGTGCGGTGACAGACCGTGCGGTGACCTCGGAACCCCAAGAGACCTCACCGCACGGTCCGTCAACGCACGGTTTTGGGACCCTGGAGGCCCCTGTCGCCAGAGACGTCCTCGGAGAACGACTCGAGCCCCAAAACCGTGCGGTGACCCCGAATCCCCACCGACTCACCGCACGGTGTGGTCACCACCCCATTTGGGGTCCCCCGAGACCAAGCGACGTGGTGTATACCTGGAGCCCCTCTGGGGTCCGAGGGTGGAGGTCGTCGGACTCGTCGGGGGCCCACATGTACAGCTCGACGGCGGGCCCGGCGGGAGGCCGAGGGGGCAGCTCGACGGCCTCATCGGGGGGCTGGGCCGGCTTCTCCGTGGAGACCGACCGCTCGAAGGGGCTCTCCTCGAGCGGATGCGCCCCTCCTCACCGCTGGCGGCCACGCCGGCTGTCGCCAAAAGTACGTCCTGGCACGAGGCGTCCCGCGCGCCACTGGGGAGCCCCTGTGGCCCTCTTTGCCTCGTGAGGGTAGTTTCGCACTTCAGTTTCGCACAAGGAAAATCTCAAACTGTCGGGCACAGCTTGACTGGACAGACCGTTACGGCGGCAGGCTTATCATTGGCATCGCTTCATGGCGACGGGTCCAACCATACGCAGGCGTGAATACCGGAAGCAAGTGGGACAAAGGAAGAGCCGTGAGATTGGTGTGCCGAGATAGGTAGGTGCCGCCATGAAGCCGTTGGTGGAGCTCCCTATGACCTATGGGGCCACGAAGAGTGTGAGGGGTGTGCCGAAATGGGGCGCCGACCATGCGGACCCTGCCATCTGGGCCTCCGCTCGAGCTCCCTATGTGGCCACGAAACGTGTGAGGGGTGTGCCGAAATGCTGCGCAGACGCCGTGCGGACCATGGCATGTGAGCCTTCACTGGAGCACTCTATGCTGCCTCGAAACGTGTGATGGGTGTGCCGAAATGGGGCACCGCCGCCTTGCGGATCCTGCCATCTGGGCCTTCGCCTGACCTCCCTATGGCGCCACGAAGTGTGTGAGGTGCGCCAACATGGGGCACCGACGCCGTGCGAACCATGGCAGCTGGGCGTTCGCTGGAGCTCCCTATGGGGCCACGAAACCTGTGGGGGGCGTGCCGACGTGCGGCATCGTCGCCGTGCCGACCCTGGCACTTGGGCCTTCGCTGGAGCTCTCTATTGGGGCTACCACACGCGTGGAGGGTGCGCTGAAATGAACCACCGCCGCCATGCGGATCCTGCCAGTTGGGCCTTTGGTGGAGCTCCCCGTGAGGCCACGGAGCGTGTGAAAGGTGTGCTGACGGGGGGCCGCGAAGCGTTTGAAAAGTTCAGCCGGAAGAAGGCACCGACGCAATGCGGACCCTGCCGTCTGGGCCTCCGCCGGCGCTCCCTATGACGCCAAAAAACGTGTGAGGGGTGTGCCGACATGGGGCACCGACGCCATGCGGACCCTGGCACCTTCACTGGAGCTCCCTAGGGGTCTACGACACGCGTGAGGGAAGCACTGCAATGAGGCACCGCCGCCATGCGGACCCTGCCACTATAGCCTTCGGTGGAGGACACGCGCGAGGGGTGCGCCGAAATGAACCACCGCCGCCATGCGGACCCTGCAAAAATGGGCCTTCGCGGGAGCTCTCTATGGAGCCACGTCTCGCGTGATTGGGTTCGCTCAAATGACGCACCGCCGCCATGTGGACCCTGCCACTGGAGTCTTTGGTGGAGCTCCCTGTCGGGTGACGAAACGGGGGAGGGGTGTGCCCAAAGAAGGCACAGCCGCCATGCGGACCTGACATGTGGGCCTTAGCTGGAGCTCCCTATGGGGCTGCGAGATGTGTGAGGAGTGCGCTTCAGTGGACATGCAGCGGGCGCAGACAGGGCTGGGAGACGGAGGAGGAGGAGGAGGGGGAGGAGGAGGTGGCAGGAGGAGAATGAACGAGGACTCGAGGCGTTGCTGATTCAAAACGAAAACCCAACTCAACACTTTTTCGTCGGCGGCGAGGCAGAGGCAGTCCGCTCCAACGTGTGGCTATTCGAAGCTGATTGGCCGGATTGCAAAGGGGGGGGGAAACAAGACCCAACTCAAAACAGGATGCTTGGGACAAAAACCTCGGCCTCGCGAGGGGTGCCCCGGAAGCCGTGGGGGCCGCTGTGGAAATCCCGGGGACACCCTGTGCCAGGGACACTCCTGGCAACACCCAGACATGCCTTCATCCACGCACTGGCTGTCTGGACACCGGGCCCGCGGACACGCCGTCCCACGGGGGCGACCCGCGCGGAGCCTCCGCGCAGAGCCCGCCCGTATCCCGGGCAGGGGCGGGGGCCGCGGCCGACAGGTCCAGACCGCGAGGGCGTGGATACAGTCGGGGCGTTGACTTAAGGAAACCCTGCATAAGGAACGGGGCCCCTTTTTTCCATAAGTTAAGCTTCGATTTCCTGTCGAGAACAAAAAGAAAGCCTGAGGCAAGCTGTGAAACACTGAAGGAACGCGGAGCCCCTCCCCAACGAAAAGGGTTCCTTCTTCAGGGCCCCGACTGTACTGCGGTTGCCGTTGGAAAGCGGGCGTGCCATCAGCGGGCCGGGGGCGCCACCTCGCACGCTGCCTTCCGAACGCCAACCGCAGGCGTGTTCCGCCCGCGGCCTCTGGCCGCCAGGGAGTGGCAACCCCTGGCGCTGTACA